TGTTGAGGTGTCAGCCTAAGTTCAAAGCCTAAGTTTCTCATCTGTGGCAAGCTCATAAGCAAAGGGACTTCTCCTTCTTCAACTATGTTGAACTCTGTATGGTGGATCGTCCATGCACGATTATACATGTAAATCACCAGTTTCTGAGAGCAAGAAGCCTTCTGAGAATTGGCAAAGTAAAACTTGCTCTTGGTAGACTCAAAAGAGTACTATAGTCCACAGTCTGGATGATTGTCGACATAGTTACAAAAATAATCGACTGCACGCCTTGATCCCATAGCTCTAGTGCATCCAATATCCAGGATTGCAATAGTTGGCGGGAAGCGATTCTCAGTCAAAAATGAAATAGCCTGCATCTCTTTCACTTCTTCCTCAGCGCTCATAAGCGCAAAGCCATCAGGAGCATCTGTGAGCATCTCCTTTGACAAAGAATACCTCACAGGGGCACTCATGCCATCGAAGATCGTCTCACCATTGTTGACATCACAGTCAGCTTCATCTTGACATGAGGTCATCATGCCTGACAGCAAGTCCACCTCACTGTCATGGACTTCAGCTGCTGTTGTCACACAATGTGCAAAGAAACTTGGTTGCTTCCTGATGATTGTGAAATTCTCGAAGGTGCAGGTAAAGAACGTGGCTGTTGTTGATTTGCATAGTTTGCATCTTGTTTGCCATCTCCTTTATCTTTTCCTTTTCCTTTCTTGCCTTTTCCCTTGCCTTTTCCTTTTCCTTTGTGGGAAAACCATGCTTCTTCAAGCTGTTGCCAAAAGTCATTGGCATCTTCATATTCTCCTTGAAGATAGTCATTCATATCTTCGGCAAGAATAGCATCATATGCTACTTGATTTAATTCCCAAGTGTCCTCATAAGGATTCTCTTCAAAATACTCATCTGGATAAGTTGTCGATTGCTCATCAGCATAGTGGCCTTTACCTCGTCTCTTTCCTTTTCCTTTTCCTCGAGGTCTAAAAAATCTGCGGCCTAACTTTCTTTTTCCTTTTCCTTTTCTTCTACCTTTTCCTTTGCCTTTTCTGGCTCTTCTTCCTTGGAATTTCCTCTGGAACCAAAAGAAGTTCTGTTCATCATATACCCAAAAGACATCGTCCAGCGCATCAAGGAATCCTTCTCTTCCATCTTCTTCATCTTCGGCCCAATAGCCAAATGTACCATCTAGTTCTCCTTCGTCTAGTACGAGAAATAATCTTCTGCCTCCAGCACCTGTCGGCTGCATCAAAAGATTGTCTACTGAAGTCTTTGTCGTACAGAACATCTCGATAAATACTGTCCTCAATTCTGTTATAGTGTATTGCTACAGGACCCTACCACGATGAGTCATCAAAGAAGTCAAAGTGTTTCGTTAGTCCTGAGACAAATCTGCAAGTGACAGCATGAGTAAGGCAATCAGATTTTCTCCTAGAGGAAATTCGTTCTGATGAAAAGTCCTCATATTGCCATTGATGGTCTGCATAATTTCCTGAATCCTTTCTGCCGTTGGAGCTACTCCAGTCAATGCTGCATCAGCCTACATCTGAGCTAGGACCTGAGGATGTGCTTATGTGACTGGCTCTAACATGTCCATCCAACTGCTCATAAGCCTTTGGAGTAAAATCTGGAATCTTGTCATCCATTTCAACATGTCAGCTAATCCTCGATTGAAGCGCACGAATTGCATGAACCTATACAGGAATACATTGGTGGATCCTTTCACAAAATATAGACGTAGTACTCGTTTGAAGTATTCTACTCCTGCTCCTGGTGGATCACTCGCCTTCAATGCATCTCTGTCTAATACTCGCTTGTATACAGCTGCTTCTCCTTCTAGTCGGTTTCTCAATGCTGGTCCTCTTTTCTCATCCTCCAGCTCGGTGATATCACACCAATCGTCTATGGCATCCTCATAAGAAAACCATGAAGTCTTTCCATCATAAGATGGGGGCACCTTTGTAGTGACCTGTGGTGTCATAGCTATCGCTGCTGGTTCTCTTCTCACATGCCTATTCACGTAGGCTGCTGGCTCATAAGCCACATCCGCATCAGGCTCTTCCCAGTCGTCAATCCAATCCATGGCCGTTTGCCCACAAGCAATTCTATGCCTAGGAAAGGAGCTCACCTGGGTCTTCCAGGATCACTGCTCCGCTACCACTGAAAGAGTGACTAGGGCGTACACGGTAGAGGTGCAGACCGCTAGTGTCTTTTGCTCACGCAGAGTCTTATCCTATATCTCTTGAGCCTTATGGCAGTCAAGTATGGACACACTAGATAGGCCACTGGAGTGGAACCTGTACAAGTAGGCTCTACCTTTCAGGGGGGGGTGGGGGGGTCTTCGACCTGAAAAATCAGGGGTTAGGATTTGCACCCGGTCGAAAGAAACCTTGCTATCGCAAGAGTAACTCCAGCTAGCTTCGCTAGCTTTCGTGATATTTCAATGATTACCGCATATTATCGCAATAAAATCTTTCTTTCCAATGCCAGATAATCTGGAATCGTCCGGAGGTTGCTGGAGCTAGTTGCTTGCGATTCCTATTCTCTTTGTAGAGGAGCAACGCAAGTTTGCTCACAAGTGCACATATGGGGATCTTATCATTCAGCTAAGAAGACACTCCTTGTGTTGGGGTATCGTTAAAATTGCCCACCTATGAAAATAAAAACGAGTCTGCATTCTCTACCAAGCTCTTCCCATAATGAAAATCAAGCTGAAGGGAACCATCGTGTGCAGGCCAAAAACGGCTCTCAGACTCATGCCAAGCTCTGAGGATCTTCCCATCTCAATGGCTGCAATGCAGAACGTCCCTTATCGTTTTTCGAGGAAAACACAAAAGACACCAATTGAATCATTGCATCACACATCCCAATTAAATCTAAATGACAATAGTTGTGCTTCTGGCTCATATATATATATATATATATCTTTCTTTTTCACAATTCACAATTTGAAAATGCTGGTATAAGAGTTGGACAGTTGGACCCACGAATCCTTTTAAATTCGTAAGGCCGTAAGGAATTGATTCACTAACGGCTTCATGTGATTCCACAGGAGCCAAACACTATCGTGGAGCCGTCACTCTGTCATCAAGGCAGGAATTTGTTTCGGCGCTCCAAGCCTTGACAAGCGAACGATTCGGTACACTGGTACACCATGGTCCCCAACAATTCCATCATGGGACATGAATGGAGCAAGCTTTGGTACAGAGTTGGTATATACAAGCCCTGGAAGGACCCGCAAACAATTACAAGGCCTGGCCCAAGCCTCACGCGCGGTCGGAAAAGGACCGTCCTCGAAAATACTCACTCCACGCAAAATCGGGTAAACTGTGTGCCGACTAGCTGTCTGGCTAAAGAGTAGTCAGTATACTGTTATACATCAAGAGGATGATCTATTGGTTTTATTAATTACTGGGTCTTACAAAGTCGGTGTGGATGCGCCACGGTCGAATTGGAAAGTACATCACCTATCACTCGCTGTTGTATCTATAGCGCTCAGAATAACATTTGAATAAGCTTAAACAGATTTGGAATGCTTTGGAATGCTTTGGATGGCGGACATTCACACGTGTAGGGGAAAGGGTTTTCACTTTTCACTTTGAGACCTTCAAAATGAAACAACTTTTGTCCAGTGGTGTATTCTGACAAACTCTTACTCACCCCGGATCTACCAGGCTTCTGCTTCGGGATGGTGCACCGGATGGGTTCGGAAAAGCATCGCCCCATGACCGGCTCTGAGAACGACAGCACTGGCCCAGCCTTGCAAGTCAGCTTGGAATTCACCGGCCAGTTCATGTTCCTGGGCTTCGAGAATGATCATAGGCCCTGTCCGCTTGTCGACCATGCTTGCATGGGCAGCTTGCACGTGCGCCAAACGAAAAACAACCCAGCATGACAAACCCTGAGACATGCTGCAACTCTCACTTTCTCCACTCAACCGCAAAAGTCGGAAGCTCTTTGTTCAACCCAAAAAACAGAGCAGTTCTATATCTCTAAGCACCACGGAGGACCTCCTCCGAAGCCCTTCACATTGCATCCAAAGTGACCAGTTGAGTGTGGAGATGTCCTTGAAGCCCCAAATGTAGGTATCTGAATGCTTCACCGAAATGGCACGCAAGCCACCTCTCGCAGCACAGTTGCAGTGTTGCAATTCAAAAACAGAGTTGATTAACAAAACGTCACATGACTCATGAATGTTGGACATAGCCGGAATGCCCACTGTGGCACAAGGGAGCCGGGCGGCACAATGCTGCCCTTGAAGATTCAGCAAAGAACTGCAAGCTGAAACAACAAACGATCAAGGCTGTTTCTACATGTTTCTACCATTTTCTACCACATGCCTCCAAGTGAGTTGGTGCCAGAGTCGCAAGTCTAGACAAAAGTTGTGAAATCATGTGAGTCAAAGCTTTAGCTGGCCGTCTGTGGTGCCATGTTCTTCTCAACATCCGCTGCTTGTGCGAGTGAAAACATGGCATCACACCACACACCAACACACTTTTTCAGGGAATTCAGTCTGACTTGACCAATACTTGGGACACACAAATCTGCTTGTCGTCGCAGGTGACTCGAACCCACCAGATGCGGGAAGTTATTAGTGCTCTTGGCCTTGTTGGTCGACGTTTGCCATGGGTATCGCGTCATCGTCCACGTCGCTGGCCAGCACCACACACTGAGCCAATCGGTCAGATGGAGGAGCCGAGATGTACCGAAACGAAGAGGGTTTTGACGGGTGGAAAGGGTTTTCGTTTCAAGGTCCATACGGATGAATCTTTTTTGTTTATGGTGAACCATGAACATCATTGATCATGAACCTTGGTTGTTGAGATCTCAGGAGCAAACTTTTTGCAGAGTGAACCTACTTCCTGTATCATCTGGATCCACCCGCTCCAGCCACATACTTTTGATCTCAAGAAAGCTGTCCAAAGCTGAGCGAACTATGACCAGCTGATCTGGTTGAATCTCGATGGGTTACCCGCAACTAAACCATTGTACGGGCAAACCTGCGTTTGTCTTGAAGTATCATGAAAGTGATTGGCAATTTGGTCATACTTATTCTACCAACACATTTGGAGGATCGTTTGGGAGGTCATGTGCCAACAAACACGCAGGAGCTGTACAAACATGATTAAGACGAGAATGCAAAAGCAATGAAGAGCATCTAGACACATCGGAAGAAGAACACTGGACAGGAACAGGTCTCTACACTTCTTGAAACCACCCTGTACTCAAATGTGTGGAATGCGGTTTCGTCTTGCAACCATGATGCAACCGTATTAATCACACCGTGTCAATCCTTATGGATCAAAACCAATTCTATGTCAGAGTCAATGTCGCCTTGGATCCCAAACATGGCAAACACGTAACATTTAAGATACTGGTGTGTTAACAGCATAGGGTTGCAACGAAACAGCAGGTACCACTTGTGTAGAAAGTCTGGTGCTCAGGAAACGAGCTGCAAGAAAATCCTTGGGGCGAGCATTGGTAGCATTCTCTGACTAAGTCTAAGTGCCACCCAGAAATGCCAAGGATAGCCAAAACACATAAATTCCCATTGCTAACGCCACATGATCTACGGCAGTGACATTGTAACTGACCTGGGTATGACGTGAAAACCGTGCGGGTCGTGCATGCTGTTCAGTCCAGCTTGGAGCTTCCGCTTGCTGCAACTCTGGTGAAACTTCCATTCATGATCAGTCTTCCACCTTCGTGGCCTTCTTTAAGTAGTGGACTCTTGTTATATACTCCTATTGACTTAGAGCATGGGGGCATGAGCATGTGCACTGCTTCCGCCAAGTCTCGGAGTGGGGGACAATCTGCCAGGTATCTGGTTCACTGAGTACTCCCATTGTGTACTTGAACTCACTCTGATAGAAGTAGGTCTTACCTGGCGGCCATCAGCACTGGAGTCTTTCATACTGATGCTTGCAGCTCTATGGTACAATGTGTACAACATACAAAACCTGGAGGCGAAACACACGAACGACCACAGCACGACTTGGATCCCTCTGTCTAGCGCAACAACTCTTCCGAAGTGTTGATCTGGCAAATTCCTGAAATGCAGCTTGGTGCTTTCCATCCTGTTTCGAGTCAACTCCCAATCAACGCCAAGCCGCTCTTGGTGTTCCCATGCATTCATCTTTTAACAGCCCCATGGTGGTGGCAAACAAACTTATACACAGAAAAACCGAGTTATCCACTTGCTTAATTTTTATAATTTACACATTGGTACTAGAGTTAGCCGCACTGAAAATGCAAAAACAGACGGACAGAAACACATCAGCTCACTGAAAACCCACAGTAGCGCACCACCTAGAGATAGCCACTTTTCTCTGATCAACTGCATATGTCGATCCGTGTCGATCTGGCCCCGGTGAAACAATACTACATACATGCAAGTGCTGCGTTTGTCTGGATTCTTTGCAAGTTCTGCTCCCACTTGGTCCAAACATCACTGGACGGGTGAAAAAAGGACTAGCAGACTAGCATGAAAGAGAACAATTGAATAATTGTTGCGCACAGAAATCGGACCTCCACGAGAGAGCCATAAACAAGCCATGTGGAACATGCAAGTGAAGCCTGCCTAGATCATTTCTAGGCAGACTGAGCTGCTGTGCACGTGTGCTCAAGCAACTCAAAAGTCATGCAAGCCGATCTCTCCAAGCTTCCTGCAAAAGCAATACGCCATCCAAAGATATTGCACTGCAAACAGGACTCGACCAACGAAGAAACAAACGTATGGAACGATCTTGTTCAACAAAACAAGAGCATCAAAAGTGCATAACTCTATCCCGATCTCCTGGCTGACCAAGCTTGGTCGTTGCAAGAGCTGACAAGCGGGTCTCCACTGTGGCCAAACGATCCAGCCACGATTGCCGCTCTCGTGGATCACTGAAGGTTTGGAGA